AATTTCCAGTGCATCAACAGTTGCTTTTTGAAGCTGTATAAAAACGTTGACAGACTCATGACGCTCAATCCATCTGGTTGCGCACAATCGTTTAAGTCGAGATGCTGATGCTTTAGGTGTTAATTTCTCTATTGAATTTGCAAGCAAAGATTGTCGTTTTGGTGTGTTAAAAAATGTGTATGTACTATTAAGGATTCCCATACAGTTTCTCACAGCTGGTAGTTCGCAGGCATCAGAAAGTGCTAGGTTTAGACTGTGAGATGCGCAATGCACGTAAATAGCCAAATCAAATTTCTCAGCAACATATTGTTGCGCCCCATGAAGTCGACCACTCATTGCAGCGGCTCCATCATATCCTTGACCTATCATAAAATTACCGTCTATGTGTAAATTTGCTAGAGTGTCCATTAAAACATTTGCAAGTCCTTTGCCTGTTAGATCAGTTACACCTACACACTGTAGGAAATCCTCCCTTATTTTCTTTATGTCGTTATCATAGTAGCGAACACACAACGAAAATTGCTCCATACCAGCTATATCACTAGTTTCATCGGCTAAGACAGAAAACAATTTAACAGAAGTAATTTTCGCAACAATCTTTTGAACAATTAATTTATTGCACACATTTATCACTTCATTCTGAATGGTGGGACTTAAGTATCTTGCATTTTTTGAAGAATTTTCTAGATGATGTTTAAGTGTTTCGTCTCCACCCATGGCTTTGTATCTCAAAAGAGCTCGAAAATTTCCATCATTTTCGTCAGGATCCTCCAACTGAAAATTTCCGAAATCCCTGTGCCCCCTAAGTGCAAGACCTTGTCGGCCGCAAAAAATTATAGTTTCTATTATGGGCGCTAACCTTAAACGATTTTCTAGAATTTGTTGACTTAATGATGAGTTCAAGGCGATGTTAATAGGTTCTATTTTTTTCTCCATAACCGATTTACGATTTTGGGAAAGTAAAATTGCTCTTTTATGATATTCACATTGCTGGTGCTCATTAAACTTGTCTGTTGCCTTTTTCCAGTTTGAAAATGGAATTTTCGATAACTTACCTAAAGGCTGACTACCTACACCACCATAATTCAAACTAAAAAAAACACAATATTTGCAAAATGCGCCATCAAGTAATTTGGAATAAGTCAACCAGTTCCACCTAAGTAGCCACGAATATTGAAACTTTAAATTTCTTTGTCCGCTTGCTGGAAATTTAAAAAGTTCTTCAAGACGCCAGATGTTTTCTAATAAATACAACCGTGTATCATCTGTAATAACTCCTTTGATAAAATTGCCGATATCATTTGCATAAGAAACAGTCAAAGGTGCTGAATTTATGGAAATTTCTTGATGTAATGTAGTTTGAGAGTCAATAGTACCATCTTCATTTTTATCATTTTCAGTTTTATTTTTCTTTGTAAAGAAATCAGTTAATAAAGTAGTTTTAAATTTCATTTTTCCATCCGACATCATTAAAATGAATTTAAATTGCTTTAATTATCAAAAAGATACACATTAAAACACGACTATGCGAATAAGAAAATAAATAATTATTGGTCTTTCTTTTCTGACTGTCTAAAAATGACTACTGTAGGTTCCTGGCTCTACATCTATATTTAACCACCTACGCAGTTTTTATATCTACCAACACTAAGTTTTGTGTCAACAATTGTGGGTCCAGCCCACGCTTTCCTGCCAGATGTGCATCCGGTAGTAATTGAGACGTACCCGTATTCAAACCCACCCTCACCCCCCCCCCCCCCTGTCACACCCTTTAACTGATAACCTTGTGTCCTCTGCCATCTTTATCATTTTCAGTTTACTTATGTTTTTAAAAATTAAATAGTTTTCAGTTTCCCTGTTTCATCCGCCATTAGTGAAATGAATTTCAAATGTTTTGAAGTAGTAAAAACATACACATTATAGAACCTCAATGCGAATAATAATCAATTCCTTCGTTGTTTTTTTTTTTTTTTTAATTTCTAGACGCTTTCCGGTTGCACTACAATCATATTAGACAACAAAGGCCTACCCACGTAGCCCACCCCTGCCCATTCGACACTCCTTAACTGATCTAACCTTGGCCAACTTTCCCTTGGCCTACTGCGTTCCAGATTATTATACTTAACTTTAGCACGATAATAAAATTCATAACTAAATTCTATAGGCAATTCTCATCACAATGATATACATTGTTGTTCTAGAGGCTGCCAGGTTAAGTGTTTAGTGTTTAAGCCCTAAATAATATCGACACAAGTCATTAGCTGTAGCTTAACGTAAAAAGGTAGTCATATTGGGGGTACATGGGGGGGGGGGTTATAACCCCCCTAACCCCCCCCCCCCCCTGCCTACGCCACTGATCAATAGCATGTCGGCTTGGTATCGATACATTGCCTTAGGTACAGTTTACGCGTTCTGATCGGGCTGAGTCTCAGGTTGTCTGTTGAGGTGTGTTTACGTGTTGTTGGTTGCATTGTTTGACTAATTGTCTGTGGTCGTGTAGTTATGATATGTTTGTTTTCAACATGGAATTACAACTAGAATGTTTATGTGACTTAGTAGACGCGTTTTGCAAATAATCTGTGGAATGGCTTGTGGGATGTCTGGGTAAAGTTTAAACAGAAGCCATACAACAATGCCATACTTCTTACAGTGTTATAAACATGTGAGCTAAAGATGTATTATGACAATTGTATTGTTTTTGTGAACATCCAGTTTACTAATTACTTCCCATTTTAACTTCTTATTTTAACAAGGGAAACAATAATATACATTTCAGAGCAATAGCTATGTAAGAATTTGAAACAAATAAACACTTATTAAACAATGAAATCGGATATGTACAGTAAGTACAAAAAACAGTTTGTAAGAAAATTTGAAATAATTCGGTGAGTGTATCTTTGTTTTAAGAGTAATTTTTTGTTCCGCTTATTATACAAAACTTTATTGAATTAGCTTACACCTTTTAAAGACATTCGAATAAGCCGATTAAACAATTTTTCACCATCAAAACAATCTCCTATAGCAGGGGTCGGCAACCTGCGGCTCGCGAGCCGCATGCGGCTCTTTTGGTGTCCAGTTGCGGCTCTTCAGCTCCATGCACAAATATTAATAATTATTTTATTTTCAAAACTCATAAAGATTAGTCTGCAACACTCGGTAATAAACGATATAACAATAGATATAAACAATAAACATTCACTATTCTATTATAGTATTTAGTTTCTCCCTATCTCAATGTACTTCCTATTACATTGTCCATTCCGAATTTAAACATTTAACTTCATAGTGGATATCACAAAGAAACTAAACCAGCTAATAGTTAGTGTAAAACTGAAAGGAAAGCCCGGATTATGTCTTGCTTGAATAAGTGGTTTGTTTCGAAAAAAAAATACTTTTTTTGTTGAATACATGGTGAGCGGTAAAATTACTAAAGTACGAAAAATCTGAAAAAATATCGTTATGAAACCAATGCTGCTATTCAATCACTTCAGCATTAATATAAACAAAATGAAGGATGTTTTCACTGAGAGATTTGAGCACTTCAAAACAAATGCAAGTACTCTGACTTACACAGAAGATACTCTCAGCACAAATTCAAATGAGATTATTTCATATGTTCAAAGCTATTTATTTAAAATTACATATATAATATATTTGTTTAGGATTATTTATATATATATATATATATATATATATATATATATATATATATATATATATATATATATATATATATATATATATATATATATATATATATATAATCCTGAACAAATATACTATTAACATAAAAATGTTAGTGGCTCTTTGAAAACTGGGTAATGTTGTAAATTGTAACTTTTGGCTCTTTTGTCTCAAAAGGTTGCCGACCCCTGTCCTATAGCAACCTATACTATTTTTTAAAATGTTTATCTAGAATATTAATTAGAGATGAAAAAATATTCGATAAATATGTACTATTAACAAATAAGAGAAAAATTAAAGTAAAAACAAAGAAAAAATATTAGACTTCGGTGTATCAGAGGCCGTGTTACATAATAAAATATTGATATTGTTAACGGTACAAGGAAACATGTAGAAATATTGGTAGCGTATTTATGGTGATAATCAGTAAAATGCTGGTATTCAACCGGTAAGAGGGTCTGTGCCGCTTCTTTACCGGGAATATAGATTCTAGTATAGTTTTACTAGAGGTAATATCATTAAGGTCTGATGATTAAGGGTCAATTCAATGCCCAAAGTTTACAGCCTTATTAGAATAATAATTTCTTACCTGGTCCTTGTCTCTGGCAAGGGTTTACGGCTGGTGAATAAAATAAAATAGCAGGTCCGATGACTACGGGTCAACTCAATGCCCGCAGTTTATAAGTATACTATATATAGCATGGTGTTACAGATTGAAATCATAGGTATATCGAAAGCAACCATTTGGTTTCTTCCATCTTTTATTCCTATGATGCCCAATTCAGTGTACACATAGTCAAGGCTCCAGACAAGATTTATGTCTTTTTCTGAATACTTTTTGGCACTACTACTTGTGTAAGAATGTACTATTATAATTTAATTACATTAATTTTTAAGCCAGATTATTACAATAAGTCATTAGTATGTATACATGCGTATTATCATGTGTAAATAGTTAAAAAAACGATTTAAATGCATGTATGATGATATTTTGTGATCTATTTTAAGAATAGCGGGAAAACAATAAGGTGTAAAAGCAAATCAATTATTCACCTGTTAGAGTATATGCATACGAATAAACTAAGGCGATTAAACTAACACATTTAACAATGTAAATAAAGTAAAAAGTTAGGATAAAAAAAAAACGAGCATGAAAAACGAGCGCCATAAAAGTTATAAGAGTTATAAATATACTTCCCGTCCCGGTCTTTCCCGTGATCGCGGTGGAGCCAACGTTATTTTAAATAGTGAGATAGATTATTGATAGGATGGGGCGTTATAACCATTCACTAAATTTATTCAAGCGCGTTTGCCGGCGCTCCGTCAGGGTGCAATTCGGCGCCTTGGGCTATCACGTGAGCGCTATGACGCCTGCATTCTTATGATCGCCTTTAAACTTTGGGAAGTTGTGGAGAATCCCTTTAGGGAGGTTTCTGCGGGAAAAAAGTAATTGTCGCTTCGACGGCGCCCGTACGTTTTAAAGATTGTAATAAAATATGGATAAGAGTAGTATTATAGTATTCCTAAGTTGAACCTGAGACGTCTAACCGTCAATTAAAAAGTTGCATTTTTAAGTTGATTTTTTTTTTATTTAGCAGTACACAATGTTCATAATGGTGGCAAATGAAATCAAATTACTTGAAGAAAACAAAAGCAATAACGAAAGTAGATAGCTTAAAAAAAGGTTTTGTAGTTTGTTATAAAACAATTTCCTTAACTTTGAGGTTTTTCTTAATTAATGTTATCTTAATATCTGTTGTATCATATAATCAAAATATGTTCCTTCAATATCCTCATTTGTGTTCTCTCACTCAAAAATAAAGCAGAAGGAAAAACCAACTAGCAGTAAGAAATCAACCTGTCACACAGTGATAGTCAAATTTTTCAGATATTTTTTTTTATAATCATATTTATAATAACAAATATCACCATTCATACCTTTGAGCAAATCTAACCCTATAAAAAAACAGCATTGAAAACAAATATACAGATATTTTTAGCTTACCTTACAAAACCTCTGAGTAAATATTAAATGGGTCCTAACGTAACCAAAGTTATTTATAAAATAAACTTTTATCATTTAATGTTACAACAAGTAGGTTTTCTTTTCGTTATAAATCAGATTTTAAAATATTTAAACCTGTACAAAATGTCAGTTTCTTTTAAATTTTGAGAGATAAATAAGTAAAATGAAAAACTAGTGAAAGCTGTCTTTTGTTCATTAACGTTTACAAAATATACACAGGAGAAAT